TCATTAGAAATATGTGAATCATTAGGAAAAGTCATACTTGGTACAATAGCATGAGAATTCTGATAAATCGGTTGATTAGGAAATGTTGTCTCACAAGAATTCTGGATTTCATTTAACTCTGAACTGCCATATGACTCTGCACTGTCTTTTGAAATCGTTGATAAAGATAAATGATCATCATGAATACTCGACTCAGTAGAATCAGAATTACAAGACTTAATATTAATTGCAGTAAGATGAACATTAGCATTACAAACTGACTGAACTTGTCCAATATCACGACATTTGAAGCATTTAGAATTATGAAATTTACATGAATTAGAAGAGTGGAACTTGCAACAGGACAAACACTGACCAAACTTGTCCCCATCCTCGTGAATGGCATCCAAATTCAATGAATTGTCTGCATAACCTTGAGTATGCACTAGGTTGAGATGACGTAGTAATGTAGTGGACTTTTTTATATCCTCATGAATCATTTTACGAAATCTTCCTCCTTTACGACATTTGAAATTTGTATACTGAGCATAGTCTAGCAGTAGATCCTTGAGAGCTGTATAAGAAAGCGAAATGGGTTTTTCCGGCATAGCCAGAGTTCTTAATAAGCTGTATGCTTCTTTTCCAATGAATGTGAGGAAGTGTGCCACAATATTAACATCCTCATCATCTTCCTTGGTCATAGCCCAGATTTCGAACCTTTCAAAGTAATCTTCAAAAGCTTCTGAAGTTGAATGAATATCTAACTTTTCCATTGCAGGCTCCATCGCGACGCCAATATAGTATTCTAATTATAGTATGAATTAGGAATTCCAGGATTAACGCAATTGAATTAAGAAGACACAGGCACAACGAATGTACTGTATTTAGAATTCGAAATCGAGCATTCAACAAGTACAAAAGAATCATTAGTTAATTCAAACACCACAATAGCTCTCAGTAGTAAGTTCAAAATTTTAAAGGATGTGTAGTGACTTCGGAACCTAATCATATTCCGCAAAGCCAAACATGAGATAATTACGAAAATAGACTATCAGTATGTAACAGTGCGAGAAGGTCAATAAAGGTGAACGCGGTAACATTCACTCGAAACTGAATTCATCGGATGGCATGGCTCGGCTTTGCTGGCTTGACCAGGCCTTATGTAAATATGTAACATCATTTTTATCCATATCAAGTATATTGTTTTATCTTAAACTTAAATGTGTTCTCCATCATATGGTGGTGATTGTTACTGTACGATGAGTCAGTGTAGACAATGATGTGAATTCCACGTAAGATCCTATAGATTGGGCAGTTACATCATGACAAATCTACAATCTTAAGCCTACCATTAGAGCAGTACTAATAACGAAGTAGGCCATAAATTAGAGTGACGAGCCCGACAAGAAGAGCAGGAACCTATTATAGGAAACAAAATGGGGGATATCAAAGAAGCGATAACTTCAACGTATTAGGTGATAATATGTAGCCAGGTGCAGCAGGAAAAGTGTCAATCTCTACTGATACACTGAGGGAGATTGGAAAAAAGGTGGACAAGAAGCCAGAAATCAATAAGTCAGGGAGCAAGCCGAATACACAGAGACAACCAGGCAGGTAAAATGAAAAACTGGAACTGATGAGTAAAAATGTGTGGATGACACTGCAAAAACAAAAAAATAGCAAGGTATTGAAAAAAATGTAAAAGAATTATGTGAGACAACTTGAAAATCAACTGTAAAATATAATAGACCAGGGTGATCAGTCAAGAATAAACAAGGCGAACTAATCACTGAGATCGCAGATCAACACAGCAGGTGGACAGAACGCATTGAAGAGCTCTTAAATAGACCAGCCACACAGAGACCATCGGACGTCAATGCAGCACACTCAGATCTTCCCGTAGATTTTATCCCATCAGCAATTGAAGAAATAAGCCTTTAGACATGGTCAAAATGAGGGCAACTGGACCAGGTAGTATACTAGCTGGAGCATTGAAGTTAGACACAAAATTCACTGAAAATGTGTTCTGCGTCATCTTCCAGAAGACTCGAGAGAACGCACTTGACAGGGTGAATGCGAGATCCTTATAGAACCTCCCTTGACACTATAGGACGAGTATTTGATAAGATCATGACCATCAAACGGAACTAGTACGGCGAACTGAATGTAAAGTCATGCATAAGGGCAACCTGCAACAGTCAGCCTCAAACAAATTACACTCGATGATGAAGCTTTGTAAGAGGTGGAAACGTTTACGTACCTAGGAAGTATCACTGATAAAGAGGGTCTGATGCATATGTGAAAGTACTGATAAACACGGGGGGTAATATCTGGAAATGACGAAGACTCATAACTCGGAAGAGTCACACAGCAACAACGTCATATTTGTTTATAAAAACAGAACGACGCTACTCTACGGAGCATCTTCAACACGCCACATAGCCACATTGTAGTGAACGAGAGCACAATTCAATTATTCAGTGCAAAATTACAGGGTTCTTTCGTAATGTGCGTAAAACTATGCACTAAATACTTCGCTCCTTTATTGCTATCATAATTACTCTTTGCCTACATTCTCGTTCTCTTCAACGAGAGTGATAGAGGCTAATGGTGAATGACCACTAGGAGATGGTGGAGAATATCAATCAGAACGCCATACTACATGACGCACCTCAGTTGAAGCAGATATCTTGAATGTGAATATCCTAGTTTAGGCGAGTCACAGAACGATTAGTACAGGCTAAACGGTGAGCCTGGCATAGATGGAGGGTCCTTCTGAAGGATGATGACCGTAGCTGTTACTCGAAACAAATGCAACTCAGATGCTACCCCAAAGTTCAAAGCGATGGGAGGGCCAAGTAGCCACCAAAATGCAAGCTAACCACAAATATCTCTACAGATTAACGACTTGGTGAAAGCCTACGAACCACGAGATCTGCGTTCTTAGACGGCCAAATGGCTATCACACCAGCTCAAAGATTGCAGAGAACTTTGATGCCAACTTCGTTGACCAACAGAACTAGAAGCCAGTAAGTGAGGAACACTTCTCAGCTGTAGTGCCAGTTGAGAGTCCAACAACTCCCGGGTCAGTATCAAGGAGGTGGAAATCTTGTGCCCAGGAAAGTTACTAGCATATGACAATACCTGATATATAATCCTGAAACAGTGTGCGGAAACTATCAGCACACTGGCGTGTGGCCCTTTCAGGCACTCACTAGATTCACACCAACTGCCGAGAGAATGAAACCAGGTCACCTCTCCTCAAACCATCGAAGGAGTGGCTACAGACCAGTCTCATTACTTTCAATGCTGTTAAAGGCGACCAGTGGATAAATGAGATAATGCACTGATTAAAATGACATCCTCTATGGAGCCCAAAACGGGTTCAAAAATGCAGGTCTCGTGCGTCTAGTCTCCTCATAGCACGAGGAAGCAGGATGACCTATCAGGAACACATGATACCGGTTCGTGTAATATTCTTTGGTTTCACAAAAGCCTTCGACACTACTGCGCATATTTTCCGATGGCTACAAATATAGGTTTCACTGACTCGCCTCTGATTTGCCTAGAAACTACATTGAGAACATGACATTTTGTACCAAGGTGAATAGGGTGCGTGCGAGCCGAAAGGTCTAAACATCAGTTGTTTCACAAGGAACAATCTTAGGTCCATTCCTATTCCTGGTCCTTACTAACGACCTGTTATACGAGACAAACCCAGCAACGCTGATCTATGCAGACAACGTGAAGATCTGAAGGCCCATGTAAAGCGAAAAAGTTTCACTTGAGCTTCAAAAGGACCTTGCAATAATGGTAGAATAGGCAGTAGACAGTCAGTCAGAACTTCACTTGTCGAAGTGTCATATCATGAACATTCTGTTACATTTGATACAAAGCAATTACACCTTCAGAGCGTGATCTCCGGTCCGTAACCACGAAGTACTTAAACACCTACTCAAACTTTATGGGGTGTTCAGCCAGAGCAAGACGTAGCTGACCACTTCATGAGACGACAACTTGACGCAATCATCCCAGAGTTGTTCCTAACACCTGAGAACGTACACACAACCGCACCCCACGGTTTACAATTTCGTTGCTTTCCCCCTTTTTATAAGGGATACAAATCTATTAGACCACGTACAGGGACAAGCAATCGTGTGGTTGGTAGATTTAGAGTGTAAGTCTCAAGAAGATAGGCTCCAAAACCTGGAATTATCCTCGCTAAGCTGCATCAGAATATGAGGTGATCTGATATCATATGACACAATGAATATGCTAAGTCACGCCGACATGAACACCCCACAACAACATCACCATCACACACCGCGAAGCAACCCCAAAAAGTTGCACATAAAATATCGGAAAAGCCGGGTAAGATCCCAGTTCCTTACACTAAGAGCTGTCTCCACCTGGAATACTTCCCAAGCAGAAGTGAGCACAGCTTCAAACAATGAATAGCTACAAGAGGAGACTTAACCAACAAATACTTACCCATGGATTACCATCTGCCTCCTGGACCAGCTATGCCTGATGCATGTCTCATAATTTACCTACCATTATCATTATCACATATCAGTAACTACCTCTTACCTTCCATATTATCATCCTCATTTCCACTCGAATTCCTAGCCCCAGTTTTCTCACACTCTCTCGACTATCAATTAGTTAGTAGTGAGTACTAATTCATCTATTGAAACAATCATCTCCTAGCACTCGAATTTTTACCCAATCACCTTACATACTGCGAGCAGCTAGTCAACCTGACTGGTAATTTGGTAACTGCTAGTGCCAAGAAACCCTACTGCCTTAAGACAAACGCACACACTCAAAACATAAGATTTAAAAACCCATAAATAACTACTGCGAAACTGACTAGAACTAGTGAAGTTGAGTGGTTAGACTACCACTCGTTAAACATTACCGAATACTTGGAGTCTTGCGAAATAACAAGAAGCGAGCGCAAAAGAACCGATCAGTTTACTCAAGTTTTTCATATATTCATTGGATATTGCAAAGGTTCTAGGTCAAATTGGAGCACCGCAAAAACAAATGAGTTGGCATCGTTTCACTGGCAAGCCTTCGTAGTTTTGTGAGTAGGGTTGACCATCACATTTCCTTCATATTGAGAGCATCTTAGTATGTGCTATTTTTATTTGCAGATTATAGAATAATCAACTAAAATGCGGTAAAATCACTGGATGATCAATAATCTTAAGCTTAATTAAATTTCATTCATATTTGTGTAGTGAGGACAGCAGGCCTACAGCCTATGTTATTGATTTTCCAGTATGCTTTTGTGAGTTTATAGTCTTCTATTGAATGGGTTAATTGAAGGTGCTTACACTACTGCTTCGGGCAACAGGTTCCAAGAATTAACCACTCGGTGTAAAAACCTGTATGCCTCAGGTGTTTTGTTCTTTCTTGGCTTTTCTACTCGCCTGCTGTGTCCTCTGAGTTGTCCCGATCTGGTAGCAAGAAGAGGAAAAAATATATTGGGTGCAAAGTCATTTCTTAGTATTCTATGCATCGTGATCACATCAACTCTTAATCTGCGGTAGGGTAAAGAGGTCTAGCTTTGCAAGCCGCTCTTTGTATAGTAAACCCCGGAGTTCTGAAGTTGCATGGGTAGCTGCCCCATGTACCTTTTCCAGGATATCTGAGCCACCTTTTGAACAGGGGCTTTTTGCCTGAACACTTCCCATGTTTAGTTCTCACTAAAGTTGCAACCTTAGTTTACACATGTGTATACTGTAGTGAACATAGTAGTATCTAACTTGGTGAATATCCGTCTTAAGGCCTATAGGGTTCTAAACCACTTAGCTTTAACTTCATGGTAGTGGGTTATGGTCCTAAGATCATGACTCAATGTCATCCCAAGATCCTTGTGAGACCGGACTACTGGTACAGGCACTCCCCCTACTCTGCACCTATTTTCCTTTGTGTCCCCAAAGTGCATGTAGACACACTTAGCCGCGTCGATAAGCATCAGCCAATTTTTAAACCAGTTAATCGGAATATCTAAGTCTGCCTGAAGTGCACATGCATCTGCGTTTCCTGTCATTTTTCACCAGGCTTTCACATCATCAGCATATATCAGCATTGGGTACAGCTACAGTTGAGGGTTCCTTTACATACAGTATAAAAAGTGGGGGACCTAGGACAGAGCCTTGAAGTGTCCCACTCAGTACTGGTTTCCAGGAAGAACACTCTGAATTTTTTCTTACTTTCTGCCTGCGACCTACCAGGAAATCCTTAAGCCATTTTAAGAAAGGTCCGGCAATGCCGGGATTTTCCAGCTTCAAGGGTAGTTTACTTTTTGGCACCTTATCAAATGCTTTGTTGAAATCTATGTGGGAAGCACCCACTGATTTTCCATTATCTAGAGTGTATCCATTTCTCTTATGCTATAAGGTGATTTGTTGCGCAAGATAAATTTTTCCTGAAACAATGTTGTTCACTGTTTAATAAGTTGTTGCTTTCCACGAATGCCATTATGGTCTTTTTGGTCATTCTTCCCAGTATTTTAACTACTACACTGGTGAGACTGATAGGTCTGTAGTTTGATGAAAGTTGGCTTGATCCTGTTTTATGTATTCGGGTGATAATTGTATCCTTCCAGTCTATAGGCAACTTACCTTGGCCAAGTCACATTGAATATCGTAGTCAATGGGGCAGCAACATAATGTGTAAGTTGCCTCAGTATTTTCGGATGAAATTCATCTGGTCTTTCTGAATTTTCTGTGTCTAGGGTGTTAAGGGCCTTAAGAACATCGTCTCAATTGAAGTCCACAGTGAGCAGACGATTTTTTGACTTTGTATTCGGGTCTATATTTTCATCTATAAGGTGCTTCTGAGTGAAAACTGTCCCGAAATAGTTTGCCATATCCTCTGCTTTTTCATGATCATCCTCTGTCATTTGAGATCCACTTTCTTCCATAATTAAGTTAGGAATTCAATGTTGCGTCGTTTTTCTGTAATTTATGTACGAGGATAGTCTCACAGATTGGGCTAACTGCTTTTCATGCTTTCTCCGAGCTTCTCCAATCGTAATCATACACTTGGCTCTTACTGACCTGTAGCGTCCCATCGTACTGGCTGTGTCAAGGCTAATGGCGATGTTTCAACATTTCTTTTGCCTTAGTAAACATCTAATATCCCTGTTTATCCAGGGATGGCTGTGCCTCTTCTTCTTTGGGACTGTCTAGGGTATGAATGGCTGAGTTACTTGGTTGTATGACTGCCGGAAATGAGTCCATGCCCCTAAGTCAATTATCCAGTTCTCAACCGAGGCTGCAGAGATGGTCTCATTCATTCCTGCGTTCTATATGTTAGAACAGACCGACACAACTGTTTGACAGGCCATCTCAGTTATGAATTTAAATAAGATTACAGCGCGATCACTTCTCCTTAAAGGTGAAGGAAAGTTATTTGATCGACATCGTCCCTGTGTTTGAAGACTAGGCCCAAGAGAGATGAGTTGTGTAGGTCATTTCTAGTTGGATCTCTAATGTGCTAGAATAAAGCTGGGGAGATTGCAGTTTCTAACAATCCGCAATCGAATGATGTTGATATCCCTACTTCTAAGTTTCCCCAATTTATGTACGGTGCATTAAAGTTGCCTATTATAAGGGTTTTACCCCTATTACACCAGCACTTAATTTTGCTTAGAAGCAAGTCACCCACTACACATTCTGGACTGTGGTATACTACAACTGATTCAATATCTTGCCGCTTACATTTGACCATGCAGCGCACCAGTTCATATGTCTCTGAGTCGTGTACCACTGTCTCGACAGCTCGTATGGTTAAAGTGCTTTTGGTGTGTAGGATAACCCCATCACACCTACGGTTTAGTCTGTCAGTCCTGCTAGGTAAGAAACCAAGCAACTGAATTTCACTATCATACACTTCTGACGTTACCATGTTTCTGAAATGTCAATCACATCAAAATCTTCTGTGTCCACCACTGGTTTGAGCTCCGGCATTGTATTAGGCAGGCTGAAAGCATTTGTATACACATTTATTTCTGTAAATAACTTTCCCGCACCACCCAGAGTGGTTTGAGGATCGTTTCGCTCCAAACTTACAAGGCGTGGAAACCCTTAAGTATAAGCTTTTTCACCGTTCCAGCAGCGCTCATTCATTTCTACCTCTGCCACCCCCAAATACTCTGGTACGGGCGAAAGTGGGGATAATCCGTTCTCCTAGAAATGCTAGCAAGTGGTCACGTGTATACAACCACCGCCACGAAAGTCCTACTCACTGTCTTCTCACGGCATTACTGTTGTTTACAAAATTGAGAGGACGAGGAGAGAATGTCCTGCGCTTTAACCGGGTTGATGAACACAGGCAGTCCACCTAGAGGAGTTGGGAAACCCTGATTCCAAACCAATGGTGCACACGGACTCCAGTGTGCTGAGGGAACAAATGGCGTATGAACCAGTTGTTGGTCACCGACTATCATGGGACTGCATCTGCTGACTTTGTTCCACTGCCGTGTTGATTAGACCTTTAGGTCGAAGGCTCCGGGTTTGACCTCCTAAGAAAACCACGTGATCCGGTTTGGGCATCCAGGAAGTTTTTCAGCCCTCACACAAACCAAACGATTTATGTGGCGTATATTTATTTGGTGCCTTCTTGTACTAATATTTATGCGTTTAAATAATAAGTAATAATAATAACTCTTAATACGACCAACCAGTCTGAGATCCTCACGGACATCTATTCTGGACCCAGTCAGTTTGCGTGCGTTTTCCAGTATTAGGTTTTTTTAGCAGGAGCTAAGGTAACTTTTAAGAGGCAGCTTTTCTGCGCGCTCTCGGAGTCCACTTGTTTCTCTATTGTACAAAGCTTATAGATGTTAACTCCTACCGTTTCTGGAAGCAGTTTGCTTATTAAGGGCTTAATGTGACTTAAGTCGTGTTCAAATCCAACCTTTGGTTCTTTTTGGAAGATTCTCTTAACTTATGAAAAATGGCTGACTTGTCACAGAGACCCGTCTTAACATGCTGCGAGGTTTTGCTTCTCAAAATATCTCCATTCCTACAGTTCAGTTTGGAGTCAGACACGAATGTCTCACTTTGTTTACTTACTTTTCTTTTCTGGGTGTAATGGTAAGTAGTTCATCGGCCTTATTTTGTCTCTTGGTCACATCATCTACACCGCTCAGGCTTTGCTCCTCAATAGTCTATTTTGCATTGGTATGTGAATCCGGACCTGAAACCGTCGACTCACATCTCTTAGAGCTCCCTATAATTTGTTTCTTAGCATACTTTTTACGGTAACCATGCCTACATCTGTTTGTTATCCACTACGCTATTTGGGTTCATCTTGATGGTTTCATTAAAATCCAAAGTTGGACTCATGATAATACTCACTGCTTCCTCAAAAACTGAAAACTGTTAATCTGCTGCTGGCTATTTATCTGAGGGCATCTTTTTAGCTATGTTCAGCAGTTCAACCACTTCAAAACTCAGCAGAGACTTTGTGGAGCAGCATACTTTGCACAGACAACGTGATAATGGGTTGCAGCACCTTTTATATGCAGCCGGTGTGAGTCCGGTACACATGTTGTGATATCACTTGTTGCAGTTGTCACATTGCACTACGTCCTCGATCAGGAAAAGACACGCGGGTCTACCACAACGATGTTTTACTCGCGCAATAAAATTGTGTATTGATCTCACAAAGAGAACAAAAATCTGATCTCTAGAATAAGTATTTTTTTAAGACCTTAAAGGTAACAGACGCTGAACACAAAAGGCTGAGGTTTATGTGTTACTGTAACTGAAAGCAAAAATCCGACGGAAATAAGTACAAAAAAGCCTTTACACCTTTGAATACAAACAACACTGAAAGGTTTACACAATGAGGAGATATAGCATTACCCTTTTTGTTTCTGTACTCAAAGAGTACAGATAATAAATTACTTTAGAACAAAAAATGATGCCCTTGGTTATTTCTTTATCTCTTCATTCCCTAATACATTAGTTGTATTTATAAATAACTAAATCAAATGCGTCAAAATATATGTACTTAATCTCTAAGCCTTAACCTTTGTTTTAAAATTTTTATATTATTACATGCATCAAACTAGCTTTCAGTATGTTTGTCGGATCACTATGTAGTTACGAGTTTAAACCGTTGTTGAATTACTACCTTGCATTCGTTTCAACTTACTTTTCTACTAATGTCAAATACTTCCAAACAGATTTTACAGAAGGTAAACAATATGAGGTTAAAATAAGACTACATAACCGATATATTTCAGTTGTTTTCTTTACTTTTTTATCCCAACAGTAAATGCAATATCAATAGGTACTAATTTGTATATTCAACTTCAGGCCAAACTTTTATCCATGTAAACTGTTTAAACTAAATTGGAGTTCGTAACTGTACTGAAATATTTGAATGTTGAGTGCTTTAACTAATTAGTTACCTCTATAAGTACTTATCGAAACCTTTGTGTTTGCATTTATAAGTTTCCCATGGTTTTCGGCAAGTGATCTTATCAACATTTCCCTTCTAAACCTAACCACAATTTGTTTTATTGTTCACTTTTAAACTTGAAACAAGATTATCATTTATTTGCTTAAAGTATTGTGTTAACATTCCGTTAATTTCTTTATTATTCAAATGTTCGTTTGTAGACTGATAAATTGGCTAATTTTAAAATCGTGACTGTAAACAAACAAACATCGTAATCATAATGTCGACCAAAGGTGATAAAGCGGTTGAAAGACAAATGCAAATGTTTGAAATCGAAATGATGCAACAAGTATTTACCAGTATGACAAGTAGCTGTCTAGCTAAATGTATTCCATCTAATTATAATGATGGTGATCTAACTAAAGGTGAAGCAGTTTGTTTAGATAGATGCGCCTCAAAATTTATGCAAGCGTATATGCAAACTACTAAGAAGTTGTCTACAATGGCATCATCAGACCCGAAAGTGGTAACTAGTAACTAGACTTTTACAGGATATACTCTGGAAAAAATTTCGCTTTCTAAACTGAAAATTTAGATGTAAAGAGACATATCCTTGTTTTCTGTTTATATCGCAATTGTAAATTAGTTGTATTTTTAAAGTACAACTATGTCAAAATGAGTTTACATTCTGTGGTAAATTTCTCATGAAGAGCTAGTGAACTGATTGTTTAGATGAAGTATTACTAGACAATTAGGTAGTCTGGTTTTGTTATGAACAACATTCCTCTGAAGTTGACGGTTCAATGATTTATTCTGAAGTAACAAAACTGTTAAGTACTCTGATTGGCTTGTCTTAAGACTCATTAGCGTATGCTACCCCCCCTAGATTTCATGTTAAGATTTTAAAAACTGATTCCGAATTTACTTCTGAACGTTTGTAACCCTTCCCTCGTCACTTGGATCCATTATTTAGCTATTAAGTCCCACTGAACACTTTGCTAAATGTGGTGACAGGTATTATATAATCTGTAATGACAAGTTTTCTGGGGATGGAAATATTGGTCCAAAAGGGTTCGTGAGTGTAAATAAAGGTCTACGTTTAAGTAGAAGTTTTCAAAGAAAATAATAAGTTTACACTTTAGCTCCTTGATCAAATATCTGAAATTATGAACTTACAGTTGCAAATATTATTCCACCCTCTTAATATGTTTCTGTATTAATCAATAAAATGCGGAAACTTATGTTGAAATTTGTTTTGTCATTGTAGGCATGACGTAATAGGTGAGTAGTTTATGTTTTTCCCATCATACTTAGTGTTGCTTGATAATAAAGCACAAATTTATGAACATAGTTCCGTCTGATAACCGAAGAGAGCTCAAGTCTTTTTCTTGATCCTTTCTCAAAAATAGTATTATAGCTTTAGAACTATGTGCTGAGTGGTTTAATGGTCGTATATCTTTGGAGATCCGAAATGAATGCCGAAACTATTTCTAAATAATCCTGCGCTCAACTGGGACTAGCTTCAAGATGAGTTGTGCGTAGCTTTAATAAGTCGTGTCCATAATGCAACTCATCATGTCAACTTATAATTCTGCGTACTTTCTTGCAGCTAGGAAGCACTATTTCTTAAAAGAAATGAAAGCGATGATCATATTATCTATCGTCTGTCGAAGTTTTTCATAAGTGATAAGGTAATACTCAATAAATTGATAGGTATTTATCTTTTTAAAAGCTCACTCAATCAGAAAATCCATAAAAGATTCCAACAAATATATTCGGTAACTTTTCATCAGGCTTTACTAATACAATTAGATGAATCTGTTCGGGATACTTGAGTCGGTGTTTAGTAAAATCATAGAACGTGCACATGAATTGGAGAGTTGAAAATGATCATAATAATGGTAGCAAAATTGTAACTGTATATGATTTGTTGGAAATTTATGCGTTAGTATCACAGAGAAATAGCTAGTTGATTTCACTCTAGACATGTGTTAGCGAGACATAGACTGGACTGAAGCATGCTCAGTTGCTTTGGTGCGCGCTGATTGGCTAATTCTTATCCAATCAGCACTAGTCGATACTTTGGAGAATACTCTAGAATCTTCTCATGCAAAAACTATAAATATAGTAACGTTCTTCCTATTGTGTTACTTACTTCCATCTAACCTTGTTATTTGGAATGTAATCTCTTTTCCTGTACAACCGTGTTTTGATTTGGGGGACTTGTCGAGCGAATCGGTGTCCGAGAATACTAAGCAATTGGAATAGCTGGTTTATAACCGTAAGAGAGAATCATAACAACATGTTTGAACTTTACTAATCGTGACTTCCCACTAGAACTTCATAAGCGCATTTCGAAGTAAGTCACCTGTGAGTTTGTTACAGCTTAGACGAATGGGTTTTGTGGGGTCGAGCCATGATGGAGTCGTAGATGCCTACTCCAGAACAGTCCCATACTAGGGCGTAACATCTGTCTACTCGCTATCTAGTCTTCTTTCCTGATGAATATCACTTACAAAATAGAAACACAAGATTCTCAGTCGTAATAGTATGAATGCTACTTGTTAGTTGACGACTGGTCAGTCAAGAGAGAGTAAAGGTCACACTAAGTAACCAATGGTAATATACTGCGATATATTGTGGATTATTGAATATAACTAATCATTTTGATGTTCGGTCCTTACCAAAACGCCGACCCAAATAAATCTAGATATTTCGCTTGCATTGACATTTATAGTTAGATCCATTATAGGATGCTTGAAAGTCAACCAGTTATTTAGGTGAAAGTTGCATAACAAACCGCTTCCAGATAAGACGTTTCCAAAGGACACTTGGTAGAGTTGTGAAGCTTTATCGAGTGTGTTTGTAAGTGTATGATTTTGTATAATTCTTAACCCTTAATGCAGCACTAGGCTTGGTAAGGCAACTGATGAGTCCTAAATACAGATAGCAAACTTTGCGTGAGTTGGTTGGAAATCAGAAACATTTGGATGAATGTATTCAATTCTTATTACCCTCTCAATCTTAAGCATTTTGTAGCGTTAACTGCGTTTTTGTGCAGTATCTGTGGATTTTCTTTAGTAAGTTCTTAACTCTCATTATTATTGTGGCTACGCCGAGTCGTAAGGTTTTGAGCAGTACCATGCGTATATACATAATTTCCAAAACAAATTTATTTGACGTCTACAACAAGCGATCTCAAAGATCTTTCCACTTAGTCTGAATAATCAAATTCAGATAGTCAACGTGTTCTGTTTTGTTTACCTGAAATACTACTGTTGTTAATTTTGATCCGTTGTAGTGTTTGTTCCTTCGAATTTCTAACTTAATTGTATGATGGTTGGAGACTAGGCAACATGGCTTAGAATCGACCATAATGGCGTAGGTGTATACACTTTTCTCATTAAACAATGAGATTAAAAGTACTATATACGTTTTTTTCTACGAACTGGTTCTCTCTGTATCATATCCTTATACACATTCTTTTTTATATGGTACTACCATTGAAGTAACTGCTTCTATGAATTTGGTGTTCATCTTGTTGTGCTGAGGTAGAGCAACTCGGACCAATGCATATATGTGTTTGGTCCTACGTTGTAGATGACTGACCGTATGATGTCCGTTTCTCAAGAAACATTTATTCGTCCAACTAATATTAAGTGACGTTAATGTACTAGATGCTGTTGTCAACTATGGTTTGTACGTCAAACGGTCAGTCTATCATTATCAACATGGGGTATGGAACAGGTTTGTGTTTTAACTTAAGTTTCTATACTACTTTAGCACGACAAGAAGTTTGGAAGATCAGTGGTAAAATGGTCAAAATAATGTAGAAGCGATGTTTATGCGGTAGACTGGGTATTGAAAATATGCTTCGAAAAGACAAAGACACGCAAGCAGAATTACTGTTACTCAAAACCAAGAGAGAGCGTACACTTGAACCAGTGTAATCGATTCTAACTAATACCATGCAACATTCCTAACAGCTGTTTGTGGTTATCTTCTGGACACTAGCCAACTGTATTGGGTTAATAAATAAGATGATTTTTCAAGTCCGATGAAATTACAGTGGATCACTGTGCTAATCAAGCCGAATATCCTCTATTCCAAGTAGGCGGCTCTCAAGTGAAATTTAGCCAAGAGATAAGGTTTACGCTAATCTCTAAAATCAAAAGATGTAAACTATCTAGTGCTGCAGTAAATGTCAGAATGAACATTATGAATTTAAAAACCTTGAATCGCGAGGCCTTTAGGTGTTGGCTACACTTCAAAGTCACAAACAACATGAAAAGTGAGTTGTTTTTTAGAAGAGTTGGATCCAGGAGGAAAATGTTTGGTAGAAACATCTATTGGAATTGAGGGAGGAATAAAATGATAAGTAAGGGTGATAAAAGTACTTAATTGAGGTAGAAAGATGAATGTACATGATAAAATCTGTGGAGTATAACTCGTTACAACAATAAATTGAACTACCTACTCTTGACGAGTAGCATGATTTTAAGCAGGAAATAAATAGTCTAAGAGCGAAACTTCAAAAAACAATTTTCAAACAGATAACTTCGCTTCTTTCAACCACTAAAACAAATAGTTTCACAAAATTGATCAGGCTTGATGTTTTATTGGTCTGTTTAGTTAGATTTCAGCTGGTAATATCTAGTCACTAATTCTACTACATGGCAATTTGAGTATGTGTCTAGACAGTTATTGAGATTTTTTTGATTGAGATCATGAACCGGTTGATGTTAGACCACCATTGAAAACCTGGAAGCACTGGACGACTGTTTAGTCCTATTGTGGGACCCCTCGGCAGTGCGCATCCACGATCCTGCTCGCGGGATTCGAACCGAGGGCCTCGAGCGCGAACGCTTAACCTACTGGACCACTGAGCCGGTATCCAATGGTGCTAATGTCTAACCTCAACCAATCCACGAAATCGCGCGACCATCATCCATTGTACTGAGGTAGACACCTGTTTCTACCCGAAACTAGTGATAGTTTGGCATACCATTTAAAGCACGACCGTACGTTTGTACCAGCTAAATAGGATTCTCTGGTGTCTGTTGCAATTCTTCAAAGTTATTAAGGATTCTGTTCACTAGATCTGACTCCAAAGACGGATTAACCTAGAATATTTTCCAAAAACTTGGGCACTCGCACACTGCCGTTCGTCAGACTGCTAAGTAAGGAGACAAACAGAAAAAATGACATTGTACCGCGCAAGATTTCAAATAAAAAAACTGAAAGGAACAAAAGAAATAATAATATAAATCTATCAGGAGTTATGTTGAATGTTCAAATCTGAATATAGTGAGACAACACAAGGTTAGCGAAGATCCCATAGTTGAGAAATATTTTAATAGATGCATATCAGTGATAACACACTGAATTGTGATGGACAGAGTAAATTTCGAATTTCCAACAAGGTTATATGATTATGCAACAATTCATAGGAATTGACTAAAATGTCAAAGGAATCAATGCATTTGCGTGAAACCGAATAAACAATTGAAAGAATACTAATCCGAAGTAGGAGCACAACTAATTAAATATAAAAACTAAACTCGGGATAATCTCAGAGAAAAATTTAAATAATTTCAACTGTCCACCTGGTCATCTGATGTGTTTTTCCAAGGAAATAATGAGGTTGAAAGCTGAATAAATCATGAGTACCGAATCTATAGACTGATTTAAACAGATTTATCAGTTTGAGATAACTTCGCTACATTTCTAAACGCGCATAAGCTGCTGATATACTACTCATCATATTGTTGAATTAGGAGACCTGGTTGAATGTTGACAGTTTTTTTTTTGCTGCAGACGAAGGCAAAAGTACTACCAGTGAAACATGAATATTTGGGGAAATTGACAGAAACGTTAAAGTATTAGAGATTCCCATAATGAAAATAAGCGAACAATATTGTTCCCAATTAGATCGTCATCACACATATCTATATGATTGGTCTAGTATTTTCCTATAAATATTCATGTCATATTAGAGCTTGATGATCGCGTTAGAAACAATGTTGTTCGCTCATATGTTTTCTCCCCAAGGCATAGTCATACTTGAAGTCTAACCAAAATTTCTCGGAAGCTCAATCGCCTACATAGTGTTTGAGAGCTCTTTTAGGTACACTACCAATGGCTTAGGCAGCAGCGCTAACATGGATTTTGCGAAGCTGTTAGCCTATCACAAGTTCACGCCATTAAAAGTCAGACCTCAGAACATCTTTTTGCATACGTATTCACCAAACACACGTTCTTAATGGGCCAAACCACTTGGACTTGTTCCTATAGAATAGCAAACAACATTCAAGAAGTGGGATTATGTGTCAGTTTATCGCTCACTGACTGTTGATTGGCCATTGTACAAGTTAGACAATCGATTGTTTGAAAGACCAATCAGAATTATACTGACACCGATCCTGATTCATAGTGACACATACCGTATGTTTTAACAGGCTGAACGAACTTAGGATTCTTTGAATGTCATCAAGTGCGGATTTCTATTCTCCTATTTATTAGTCGCCGCATTTATTAAGGTAGTAATTATCATTTGTTTTTATTTTCGAATATGTTAGTGAAATCAAGTCTGGAGTCGTAAAGTAAAAATTATGTACTCCATGGACTTTATTCATCATTGAGTGTGAAGGTTTTTGAGGGTTGGAGCTGCGGTGTGGAGGTGACTGATTGTCCTGTAGGGTGGTAGCTGGTTATTGATGAGGATTCGTTATGAACTGATTGTGTTTTCTAGGCCTAATTGTAACTCAACCATTATGTGTAAAAAGAATTCTTAAATTAGAAAAACCTTTACATGGATTAACCATCTGTTTATGTGATCAGGACTTTTATGTTGAGTCAAGGTACATTAGACATTACAGTAAATCTTTTATTTGAAAGTGCCGGTTATATGATTCCAAAAACAAAGTCTACATCGATTAAAAATCATGATCTAAATCTTGCGACTCTTCTGCAAACTACTGGTCAGTGTTCTAAGCTGAATTTCCTTTACGGATTGTTAGTCAGCAAATTAAACACAAATGGCGTCAGACTACTTTTTTCGCTAGCAACATGTTATACCACTTCAAATAAAGTTTTCAAAACACTGGTTTGAGAAACCTCTTGAATAAGTAGGCGTTTCCATTAGCTTAAATGCATGGGATGGTGCTTGGTCTGTTGCAAGTTTATGGAATACGCTAAAATGAAATATACACTTCAATTTGGGTCAACCATAAAATGTTTCTGATTAGTACAATTTAGTAATGTTCGTAGACCAACTCTCCCTAGCTCCCTTATGAACTATTTCAAACTTAGAATGTGTGTAGAAATCTACTTGAGATTTCATTAAATCACTTAATCAAAATCGGTAATAGTACTATGTGTTCGTCATCATCTTTTGTTGTTACCTCGAAATTTCTTAGAGGAATGTAAAGTTGACTTCTGTGTATCTGAATGAAAGTTGTACAATGTTCTTGATAACTAGTCCTATGTGTGCGTCATGACCGTGTAACCTATTAGCATTTTATTTACTTTACGGTTTCGGTTTGGTTGGGTTGCATGTTAGTTGAGTAATTTGTTTAGTGACTTTTCGCGCTAACCTGGCAAAGTAGAATGCCATCCTATTTCCGTCTGAAATTCCTGAAGGCACAATCTTCGACTCATTTACTTGGACAAGTCATTCGACGATATCCCAACTACCTACTTTTCATGGGCTAACGGAAAGTTATTTCATTTCAGAATGGGTCTTTGGCTTCAGGCCCCTTTGGTTTTGTTATGCATAGTGATCTTGGTTTCATCGGTGCCTACATCAATACAAAAACACGAGCTTGAAGAAAATGATTCGTAAGTTAGATTTACGATTTTTGAATGCCGTTTTTTCTGTTAATAAAACCACTTTCCGTTTATTATTAAGACATACTTTATATGGTTAGTCATATTAGTGTATCTAGTTGATTTTATGTTGACTTTTAAGGAACTGTTACTAATGATCAATATGTTTGAAAAGGCTTCAAACAAATTCTGGAGAGATGGTATTGTTGACTGGAGTTCTGTCTACCCGGGTTATGGACGTGTCTACCAATCCTGCCAAATAGATCTCATTAGCTTGTAGTGTTTCACACAATGGGAATTATGTATCACATTTGTATAGGTCATATTCCAGGATATTTCCTCTGCTGAATTAAGCCATGACATTTTGAATGAATTTACATTCATATCAAGTCTATCCTTGACTAACTTATATTCCAGTACCAGTTCCGGCACATCCAAGAATTACGTTCTTATTTGTACTACTAAAACTCTATAGTTACGTGTCACTTTCTATTAGAATTTTCCCATCGTTAGTTTTTATGAGACAACGGCTTATTGTGAAGTATGTCTCTACGTTTTGATTATTCTTTGGCCTAATAGATTTCTCGTCAACAAGATCTTTACGCTAAGCACATTAATGTTAGTAGACAGATCATAACTAGTGTCGTAGTTGTTACACTTAAGTTCCAGGTTGACTCTTTGTCCACCGGGAAGTGTAGATAGTCGTTGGAGGTATTTTAATCATACTCTGAAGTGATAAGAACGGATTCAAGACTTTGGAGCGCCTATTAATAGGAACCAGGGTTGCATGTGTTCCGTGTGATTTTTCGACTTATGTTATTTACTTCTTGAGGATAGCAGAGACGTGTTCTTTTCGAGAGGCAAAACTTGATGACCAAAATACACGATCGTCTCTTGCTTTAAACTTCTCCAGCTTGTCTGGGTTACTGGGATCTAGATACCTGGTGTCAGTAAAACGAATGATATACCGATCAACGTCATTCACTGTTGTGCAGGATTACTTATATATTTTTAGGCACAAATATTGGTACAAAAGGAAACTAACGTATGTATGTGCCACTCAGACCATTGAATTTGCGTGGGCTAGGATACCACCCGGATCCCCGAACCAGAGGTGATCTTCTTAGAGGGCCGTTATTCTCCGCGACGTTGACATGTAGGTCTAATCCACAAGGCAGTAGAGTATACTGTCGCTTGCCATGTACACCGAGTGAGCCAACTCCATTGTGCATCATTGCAAGAAGCGATTTCCTACAGGTGTAACTCTAAGCTATTCTCTAAACTGTCGAGCACAGAGTCTTGGTTTAACCAAAGTCAGAACAAGTAAGCTATTTGGCTTGATAAACTTTATCTGTTTTTAAAACAAATTAACACCGTTAGTATACAAAATAAATAGTACAGTCTATTAACACGGAGAAAAACAGAGACATAAGCAACATACCGAACAGTAACTAGAGGATAGGAAAAATGAGTCAACAAGGCGAATATTTTTATATAATGAACATAAAATTGTGATTGGTGAATAGACAAGATGTGGTCATACAAGGTCAATGAAAGTTAATGTGGTGGTGGGCGTTTTACTTTATCATTGGTGAGTTCATTTATCGATCACATTTTACATCACTTCGTTTTGCTTCGCTTTCAGATCAACGATTGTACGTATTCAAAAATCCATCCTCGTATTTATTTAATTCCATCATTCACCACATCGCGATCTAAGTCGATGATTATATACGAGGATTGGCGATATGTATATTTCGATAGCAAGCAGCAAACGATATACCTGAGGTCAGATAATGGGCCATTAATGTGGTGAGCCCGACGTAATGACTAATATAAGAAATGCACACACATACGCTCACATAGAATCAGTCAAGGTTGGTAAGTGAATAAGTGACGGTAAAATGTGCCTAGAAAAGAATGAATAGACTGATCTGTCCAGAGGCTAGAATAAGCTATGTGGGCGTGCATAGCAACCGACATTACAACAGCAACGTTAGTAGAAGCGGTCCTATGGTAACTGGTGACCAAGATTAGGTACATATCCTATATGTTCCCTCAGGATCATGGGACGCATATGGACCACTGGTTTCGGATAAGGTTTACCCAACCTCCCAATGTAGATCCTATATACTCACTAGCCCGGTTTAAGCTCCGGTCATTCATTTTTCTTTATCTTAATTTCGTGAACAACACCCCCACCGCTAGGTAACTGGTAGGGTTTCCCTGACAGTGACTGTATGCCGGTGGCCATACGATGATTTGAAGAGGGAGAGTGGTCCCCCACCCTCGGCCGTACCAGGGCATTTAGGGGGCGGTGCGTAGAATTCTAAATATAATTGAGATGGTCTACCAAGTAGATTGTCTTAAAAATAGGAATCAAAATTAATTTGTTTTGGTTATTTTTGACATTTAATTTATTATCCTTTAATCTCTTTAGCTTTGACAGTCAACTGATAGAGGATAACAGATCACATTTTCGAGGACGCCAGTCTGGTAACAGGCTTGAATCTGATAAAAGTAGGCTATTTTTATATAACAACCCTAGTTTTTCAGTTACTTTTTGTTAACTATGTCACATCATCAAAGCGGTCTGGGTTACATAGGATTGAAATCATTAAATTATAAAAAGGCCCAATCAAACGTATACTGGGGAATACTATATGGTTAGAATAATCGGTTTTGCGTTTTGAGCTTCCAAATTAAACCTGGTTACTTCTGTGCATACATATGTTGATAATCCACGAAGACAGTTTTTTTTTGTTTCGGTAGAACAGTTAGTTGGGGCATGGTTAATTTTGGCACGTTGATTATTTAGGTTTCAGAATACAGTCAGTGTTATGCTTAGGATTGATTTCGCTGAAACCGTTTGGTAAGCTGCCCATACGAGCTGAACACCAGTTATGGTCACTGTCAAACTATCATGTTAAATACATTTTCGGTTCCATGCCACTGTAGTTCAATGTTTCGTAGTCAAGACAGAACTAAAATTCGGTTGATATTAAGTCTAAGCATTATCATTTGAAAAAAAACAATACCGAGTGGAATTTCAGTTATTTAAATAGACCATTGATTAGCACTTAAGACTTTTAGTGCCGTCTGATAGTAAGTACCATCGAATAAAAATGAAGTAAAAAATGTATCTGTAAAAAGTAGCCTTGTAGCAAGACTTTAATTAACAAACTCTCAATGTTTGTATTTGAGAAATGTGAGAATCAATGTCCTGTTTTTTGCCTACAAAAGTTACTGTTCAGTACTCAGAGGAAATTTGATAGTAGTTAATTTATCGCATTCATTAGGAAATCAATCTCCTAATCCTCAAGTTAATCATTTAAATCTCAGTTCTGGTTCATCATTTTATAAATATATTTCATTATAATTTATTAAGACGCTTAGAAATTTTTTTCCATAGACCAGTTATTGTTACATTCACGTACTATTTTCCTTACTGTCTAGCATTTATTTATTTATTTCGTTTATGAAGTAAGTTGGTTATTTTCTGTCAAACAAATGGATTTCTCAGTGAATTTTGTGCACCTTCTGGCAAAAATAAACTATGTACTATTCATTCATTAGAGTTGGTACTGAATGTGATGCTAATGTCTAGTAGTTGGTATGCACTGGTGATTATAAAACGGTTTTTAATGCTCTTGGCTTTGCAGTAATTCTGCCAAGTTGTAGATGCGAACGAAGACTTAATGATTGTGTAAAAGGCTGTGTCATTAAGAGTCTAACACTTCCAACCGCTAAGTTTCCATCTACAAACGGGGTTAAAACATTTTTTTCTATGTAGTTAAGACGAAACGCTTTAGAGGATTATCAGTATTTTATAGGTAATTTTATTTGCAGTTGGTGTGAGCTAATTTGTTTTCCACATTTTGTTTTATCGTTTTTTTTGCAATTTATTTATTCCTTTTAAATTGCTGTTCGATATACTACTCACTTTTTTTCGGTATAAGCTTTGTGTGAATTTTGCTGTTTGTTTGTCTTTGATGTTGTGATTTCACACTACACACACTAATTGACCGTAAATATGGGGCTTGTTGGTTAAAACACTTGTAAATGATAAGCTGTTGGCTTGAATCCTACTTCACCTGCTTCGATAATATCACTAACCGGATTCATAACCATTTACTTGGCTAGTGAATTTCATCATATTATTATATTTTAACACTAACTAATGTTAAATTTTATCCTGTTGATTAACCGATAGATGATTCATTACCTGGTGAAAGACGGTCACGTAGGCGTCGCAGAAAGCATGTGAGTTTCAAGTCGAATTTGTTTAACATTTTCCTGTACCATTCGTTTCATCATACTCCAATAACGCTTTTCTGTTCAGCTGTTGAGTCGCAATTATGGGTGTTTCCAACTAATTCTTTTCACTCATTGTATAGTTTATATATGCAGGGATTGTTGATTTACTTACTTTTGTGTAATTAACATTGACTAGTTAAAATTATTTTGAGCTTTAAAAAGCTAGTTAGTATTTCTAGTCCTTACATTAAAAGCATTACCTCGAAACTATATGCACAAAGCGGTACTTGGTGAGTGAGTTATTTCTGTGTTGTGATTGGTGATTCACAAACGGGTAAATTGATGGTATTGTCTTATCGAAATTCCTAGGAGATTAAGTCGTTCTAACTGTGCGAGAGATTGTTGTATCTTCGAAAAGGGCATTTTCTTAAATTGTATTAGATGTTGTGTGAATGCCCATTTATTATGGAAGGATTTATTTTATCTAGTCCGATTATTGACTTATTCGCCTATATTTTCTATAGGACTGGTGGTCTCTCTACCCAATAAAACTACTACCTTCTCCTAACCAGTGACTCAGCAACTGTATCTAATGTCTGGAGAATCTTAATGCTTGTTGTCTCGCGAGCTGTTCCCGATTAGTAGACAAAGATAGAAAGCAGATACCTTCCAGGTAGTTTTCTTAGGTGGCCACACTCAGAGCCTTCGACCACAAGGTCTAGTCAACAAGGCAGTGGAGCATCGTAAGGGGATGCAGTTCAATGGTAGCCAGTGACCAACAATTGGTTCATACGCCATTTGTTCCCTCAGCACACTGTAATCCATGTGCACCATTGGTTTGGAATCAGGGTTTTCCAACTCCTCTAGGTGGACTGTCCGTGTCCATCAACTTGGTTAAAGTGCCAGGCATTCGCTTTTCGTCCTCTCAATTTCGTAAACAACAGTAATACCGTGAGAAGACAGTAAGTAAAACTTTCCTGGCAGAGGCTATATATGCGTGGTTATGTGAGAGCATTTCGAGAGGGAGAGCTGACTCTCACCACTCTCGGCCGTACCAGGGCATTGGGGGCTCGTCATTCTAGATTTGGAATAACGAGTGAAATAACGGTTTTTGGATCAAACCGAAGCTTTCATGTAGGGGAATATAATAAACATATTCCAAGCACATATTAAATATACAATAGAAATATTAACAGTAATTCTCTGTAGAATAGTTCCTAAAGCTCGATCTTTCTCAAACCTTATTCTATATGACACGGATTACATTTTTTAAAAATATGAGCTTAGTTTTTCCCTACAGTATTTCAAAAATGTATGTGCGAGTGGCGACTGAAAGAAACACTCACCAAAAATGTTTTATTTGATTCTTATCTTTTGTATTTCTATCCCATATTCAAAGCATTTTGGGACAAATTTCTGAACGTTAATTACCGTGACCATTTCCCCCTCTCTGTTATTGATTTTCCCGTTGTAATACTTTTACTGTTTCTGCTTTTCATTCGTTTACCAAATATTGCGTTTATTTCGTAGGTTTCATTACTCGATCGTCATCACATTTTCCCAAATATATTCGTTTGCAGTGGCATAGTTGCATCCATTCTTCGTCTTCCTCCGAATTCTAAGCATCTGAATTTCTTATATTTTTTTAAAATTTCCCTAATTTATATATATTTTAAATTGTTTCCTCGGTGGATAATTTTTTCTATTACCTCTGAAACTATTACTATGTCTGCTACTCTGAAATTTACCCTAACAGTTTCATCTCGTTGTGCTAATCGGATGCGGAAACTTAAACCGATGTACACTCGTATCAGGTTGTACTTGGCGACATACGGCCCTATTTCCTATTTCGAATTCTTTTACGTTTTTTATCCTGTTGACTTTTTTTCCGTCTCGCTCTCTGTGATATTGTGAGTTGCAACAACTTAAACCCCGATACACAATAGCAGATCATAGTTTCATTAACGAGCTAATATTCCTAGTATTTTCTCAACAATAATGTAGTTGTTTACTTGTCCTTATTTGTGATTGTTAAAAGTTACTATTTTCCGTTATGTTACGAAAAACTACTTTTCTTTAAATATGGCCCAGATTTAAATTATTACAATATATTATTCTGAATTTCAGTTTTTCACATTCAACACTATATACCAAAGACACGTTAATGAAACTGTCTTCAACTTTTGCTGGTATGACTATCGTATTTGTTAAAAGATTCTTCTCAGCTCGCTATCAGTTTTCTTCGAAATGGATTTCTCGAAGTTTTAGCTGGATTTCGTAGTACACGTAGTTAACCACATCAAACGTAATTCAACAACTCATCAGTAATGTTAGTTGAAAATCCTACTGCAGCACATATTGACTGAAGTTAAAAATATGAGCAGTTAAATTCTGACTCAGTTGTTTGAGTAGTATCGTGCTCCCTGTAATATCTGTCCTAAGCTCAATCTGATGTATGTTGTCGAGACCGTCCTCGTCGTTAATGATTTCCGTTTCAGCAAAATATCAGTTAGCTGGTGTTATCTGGTGTTCAATGGTTTTACAATTGATCCTAGTTCATACTAAAAATACCTTTCAAATAGTGCAGACTCCATATAAAAACAACCTTAGGAAGTACTGTTTTATCAATTATCTATTTAAAATTGTTTATACATTATATTATTTCTACATTTTTATGTTTCCTCGCAGAACCGAAATTGTGAACAACCAGGCCAATGTCCTGAAGGTAAATTACCAACTAGTATTTTTTTAGATGCTTATAACTAAGTTTATTTTATGGACAGATTTATTTAAATTAAACTTTTTCCAGTTGGATAATCGTCAGTTTACCAACCTATTCAAAGTAATTCCATATGTATAAGGCCTCTCGAAGTTCTCTCAATAATTACTGTATAAAAGGCATAGGATATGTTGAAATCATAAAATTATATTTCGTTATACAGATGATACCTTTTTGTATACTTAAGATTTCACTAATCCATCAGGTATTAGACTTATTACTTCATACTATAATTAAACAAGTCATGTATACAGATGACTCCTGAATGAATTCAGTCTTTTTCCAAGAAACGCTTTGTCACTCAAAATAAGCCCAAGACTTTTACCCGACTTTTGACCAAACAAACCTATGCCGTCTGGATACTATTTTAAGGCAGTTTAAGAATCTTCGAGAAAAGGACCAACTCCGTAAAAGTCAAGTAAAGTTGTTATTTATAAGAGTATATCTGTAGGAAACTATTATTTATTTATTTATTTGAACACATAAATATTGGTACAAGAATGCGCTACATAAAACAATGAGAATTTAAGGGGAAGGAAAAAGAAGAGAGTAAAAACGAAGAGATTGATGTAAGGTGGTGTAATAATAATGGTAAAAATGGGGGAATGGAAAGGTACACTCAGAAGAAATCTTTCAGTTACGGAAGACACAACCACTTTTTATGAAGAAAGTAAAAGAAGGCTACAGCAGGATCGCCACTGGCTTCTATTCTGAGCCATATCTGATAACGTCTCTAGCCACTGTGTAGCACCATCTCTCGGACCCCAACCAGGGAGTCGTGAAGGACCGACAGAAGCCAGTCCTTTGCAGCTTTCTTTCATGCCACGACACCATGTCATGCACTGACCACCTCTCCGCTTCTTCCAACCAGTACCAGAGTCGGCAAATAATGCACGACGTGGAATTCTCTTGGACGACATTCGTAGAACATGTCCAAGCCACCGAAGTCGGTGTTTTAAGATGGTGACATCAATTGCATTATCGTCTCTGTGCCCGAACACACGATACCGAACCTCTGCAATACTGACATGATGTTGCCACTGGATGTCAGCAATCCTTCGGAGACAGCGATGATCGAACACAGAGAGTCGTCTAACGTCCTCAACTCGGAGAGACCAGGTTTCACAAGCATAGAGCAAAACTGCTCTCACCGATGCGTTGTAGATCCGACCTTTTACAGCCAGACTAACATCACGAAGGCGCCAAAGGTGGCCCAGATTGGCATAAGCCGCTCTGGCTTTCACTATCCGTGCATTGATCTCATCACTCACACCCCCACCAGCACTTATGCAGCTACCCAGATACACGAACTTCTCAACTACGTCTAACTGCTTCAGTACTCATATTCGGTGGTAACATACAATTTTCAACCGGACAGTAGTGACTCGAGAATTTTTAGATAGAGTCGAACTTCCACCATAGACGAGCTGCTGTATAAGTCGAAAAAATAAGTAGGAATAAAAGAGGGCGAATAATGACGTAGTAAATAATAATAATAATAGTAATAATAATAATAACAATAATAGTAATGATAATAATTTGAATCATTTGATTGTTATTCGAAGCGAGAAGAGTAGTTTCCATATATATAGAAATTTCATCATTTGGGTGTGGGCTGTGATACTGCCCGGGTGCCCAGACCGAAGCAGGTGGTTATCTTAGGGGGCCACACCCCGAGCCTTTGACCTGAAGGTCTAACCCACAAGGCAGTGGAGCATCGTAAGGAGATGCAGTCTCATGGTAGCCGGTGACCGAAAATTGGTTCATACGCCATTTTTTCCCTCAGGATACTGGAGTCCATGTGCAACATTGGTTTGGGATCCGGTTAAAGCGCCGAGCATTCGCTCTTCGTCCTCTGAATTTCGTAAACAACACCCCCGCCACGAGAAAACAGTGAGTAGGGCTTCCTTGGCAGAGGCCGTATACGCGTGACCCTGTGAGAGTATTTCGAGAGGGAGGGCGGACTCTCCACTCTCGGCCATACCAGGGCATTTGGGGGCACTAATTGGAAATAAAATAAACAGACAGCTTCAATGGAAATTGGTGGACCAGTCAATTAAAATAATCACTGCTTATGGATTATGACTACTAAGGATGTTAATGTAAATTTACTTAAGTAGGTTTACCCACGTTATTAAGCGTATCAGTGTTCTTACGATAGACGGGGCAAAACCACAGTTTAACGTTGGCAACCTGTCAAAGGACTCATTTTGCATCACGTTAAGAATCGTGGTTTCCCTCTATTCACTGTTTCCAAGTGCACACAGACCAGTAATACTATAAGGAATCATAGTTATGTAGTTCCACATAAGCTTGATTTTATGTGAAAAATATATAGGATTAATTTTATTCAGTATGGTCGTGAAAATAGCACATCTAATGAATTATTTAATAACATCATTTGGGCTTTCTTGAATTTTCCGACATATTGAACAAAATCCCCCCTAATCCTCATAGTTTCCTTTTCATCCAGATTTCCTCGTTGATATCAAAATGTAAATACATGAATTTACGGGATGAATATCATTTACATTTCCACCTCCAAAAATCTTTCACAAAAGATAATCACAATATAACAGCATAGAAGAAAATATTTTGGGCGTTTTTGTAACAAAAAAACTTGTTTCAACGTGTTAATGGAACCGGATAAACAATACTTAAATAGATTTTCTACACCTGCTTCGGTTTGGGCACCCGGACAGTATCACAGCCCTCATACATATCGAATGAGATTTGTGTGGCGCGTATGTATTTGGTGCCTTCTTGTACCAATATCTAGGTGTTAAAATAAATAAATAAGATTTTCTACAGAGAAATACCAATTGAATTTGGATAATGTGTATTATGTAGAAAAGTGTCAACAGTTATTAGAGATAAAATTCTCCTAGTAATTTCCAATTATCTTATTCTAGTTGTTGCATTCTGCATAAAGTTTGAGATTTGATAGTTTTATAAAAAAATCCTACCACTAATGGTAATAATAATAGTTTTGAATTCCATTTTGTTTATTGTTCAGGTGGTGCTAATTGGAGACGGCCACACAGACGTGGAAAAAAACATGTAAGCGTTATGTGTAGATAAAAATTACTTCATCAGTTAACTGTACTTTACTATCGTTGAAAATTAAATAACAAGTTGTTTAGGGTCCACTCGATAATCTATCATTGAACACCTTCGTCTTTGAAATTATTCATAGTGGCACAGAGGTATTGATTTTTGATCTGTTCTTAATCGTTGTATTGTACATCCTATTTCTCGATTTTATTCGCTCTTTCCGAATTGTCTTTTCAGTGTTTAATTTCCTAATGTGATTGGTGTTTGTCCTTTATTTGTTTTCCTTTTCATCTTAATTCTTCTCTTGTTGTGATGATGCAAACTCAACTGACATTTTTAGCCGATACACCTTTGTGCCAAGTCCTGACCCTAAATGCCCTGATACGGCCGAGAGTGGTGAGAGTCAGCTCTCCCTCTCGAAATGCTCTCACATAACCACGCATATATAGCCTCTGCCAGGAAAGTTTTACTCACTGTCTTCTCACGGTATTACTGTTGTTTACGAAATTGAGAGGACGAAAAGCGAATGCCTGGCACTTTAACCAAGTTGATGGACACGGACAGTCCACCTAGAGGAGTTGGAAAACCCTGATTCCAAACCAATGGTGCACATGGATTACAGTGTGCTGAGGGAACAAATGGCGTATGAACCAATTGTTGGTCACTGGCTACCATTGAACTGCATCCCCTTACGATGCTCCACTGCCTTGTTGACTAGACCTTGTGGTCGAAGGCTCTGAGTGTGGCCATCTAAGAAAACCACCTGCTTCAGTTTGGGCACCCGGGCAGTGTCGCAGCCCTCACACAAATCAAATGAGATTTGTGTGGCGCATATGTGCCTCCTTGTACCAATATCTATGTGTTCAAATAAAATAATAATAATAAAATGTGCGATGTCACGTATTGGCTGATTGACTGAATAGGATTGTGAACTGTGTTCATAAAATTCAGACTGGATTTCATGCGTGTATTTTTAAAATAGCTTGACAATATATAATATTCACCTTTGTTTACTTTTATGTTATTCCTTAAAAGCGAAAAGTTGTCTATCCAATCATATTACGTAATAACTTATTTCAGCGTCCATTATACGACTGTCTTCATTTATTCTGAACACCATTATAAGTGATATTAATTAAAAGTATGCTAATATGGTTTCTCTTTACGGATGTTCTCCATTCAGAAAATTTTAAATTCAGTGTCCTTAATTAAATATTGTTCAAAACTAATGTTTATTCTTTGCATTGTTTCTGTTTGCTTTTAGCGTACACGATGCAGTGGTGATGGTGATTGTCCTGAGGGCAAGTTTCTACTTTTTAAATATTAATTCTTTAAATTAATTAGTTGATCAGGTTGTTAAAAAGGCATATTGTCATTTTTAAACGAAATGATACTCCTGTTACCTCGACACAACTCACCACCCAATTTAACAATCAAAGACATTACCCTTAAAGTATTCTGGCTGTGACTGATTTCTTATAGGACTGATATATTTTCTTAGATTATTAACTTTTATTATATTTATCTGGTCTTCACTTTCGGTCAAACTGAAGTATCAGCCACTAATTTAAATAAATGTGTTCTGTGTAGCGAGAATAAATGCTAGTCGATTGGTTTCTGTAGTTGGATCGTTTTCTAATTTCATCAAGAATATATCTCCTTGGAGTGGTCTTAGTAGTGATTACATAATAAGACCATTAGTCAGTCAGTCAGTCAGCTACAACGTAGGACCAGGCACATATGTGCATCGGTCCAGGTTGCCATACCGCATCAGCACAACAAGATGAACACCGGATTCATAGCAGTGGTTAGGTCAAAGGTAGTAATATGTAAGAGAAAGATTGCATATAGAGATATAGTACAAGAAGAAAGAATTGGTTCGTAGAAAGAAAGATATGAAGCGATTTTAATCTCTTAGTTTAAGGGAAGACAGCGAGTGTATACACCGACACCATTGTAATCGATTCTCAGCCATGTTACCAAGAGTCTCCAACCATTGGTTACGATAGTCACGCGGACCCCAACCAAGTAGTCTGCTTCTACCAACATGGCTCAGACTAGAAGTTAGTGACTTCAAGCACTGATGCCACGTTTTGGTTTGGCCACCCCTAACTTTCTTCCAATCATTCCCAACAATAGCCAGTATTGCGCGTTGTGGTAATCGGTGTGCAAGCATACGTAACACATGGCACAACCATCTCAGTTGATGAAAATTCATAACCTCATCAACTGATTTACCATCATTCCCTAATACCCTGCGTCTAACCTCACTATTACTTACCCGGTGATCCCAGCAGACGCCAGCAATACTAATAGCTTACGAGTGTCTTCTACTCTTAATGGCCATGTTTCGCTGCCGTAAATTAAAACAGAACGGACTCCCGCGCAGTATACTCGTCCTTTTATTGATAGACGGATATCTCGCCTCCGCCAAAGGTGACGTTAGTTGACAAAAGTCAAACAAGCTTTTCGAATCTGCGCTGAGATTTCGTCAAACACCAACCCATTAGGGCTGATCAGACTTCCAAGATAAGTGAAGTTGTCAACGCGTTCGACTACTTCACTCCCTATTTTTAGTTCAAGTGTTGACGCAGACCAGTCCTGAAGCAACAACTTGCATTTTGAGGGAGTGAAGCGCATTCCAAACATTCTGGCATTGTTGCTCAGTGCTACCAGAAGACTCTGCATTTTGTCAGCGTCTTCACCAAACAGGACTATGTCATCTGCGTATTCTAAGTCGATAAGTGGACCTCCTGGAAGGAGATCAATACCCGAGAACTCAGTCGACGAGAAAGTTATTTCCATCAGTAGATCTATGATGAAGTTAAACAGAAATGGAGAAAGTGGACAACCCTGAAAGACACCACTTGAGGTTGCAAAATCAGATGACACTTCGCCATAAGCTCTGACTCGACTAGTAGTGTTCGAGTAAAGAGCCTTCACAAGGTTTATGTACTTCTGGGGTACGCCTTTCAATGACAGACACTGCCACAGAATCTCGCGGTCGACCGAGTCAAATGCTGCTTTTAAGTCGAGAAAGACCACCATTGTCGGACGTCGATAAGTATACCTATGTTCTAGAACCTGACGAATGGTGAATATGTGGTCGATGCAGCCACGACCAGGTCTGAAGCCAGCTTGGTTCTCTCGTGTTTGCAGTTCACGAGTCTTAGTTAGGCGTCTGATAATTATCGAGGCTAGTATTTTAGATATTATATTAGTTAAACTAATCCCTCTGTGGTTGTCACAGGATGATTTTGACCCTTTCTTATATATTGGGACGATAAGTGATTGTGACCAGTTAGATGGAATAACGTCTAACTCCCAGATTTTAGCTAAAATATTAGTCAACCTAATCGCTAAAATTGGACCACCATCCTTAAAATTATCTGGAGCCAATCCATCTGGACCAGCTGCCCTTCCTCGTTTCAGATTAACTATAGCCTTTTGAACTTCAGCAAGAGTTGGGGGACCTACTTCAATGTTCCATTCACACTGTCTGGGAATGGAGGGTAGTTGTAGAGTAGCTGAAGGCCAGCTGAACTGTTCTCTAAAATGTTCCGCCCATCGTTCTAGACGCCTGGACTGGGAGCAGATGAGTGTATCGTCTTTTTCCGATATAATCTCACTTACACTTGACTTATTAATCCCAGTTTCTTTTATTAGTCTGTAAAGCTGTCTTGTGTTCCCTATAGTCGTCGCCTTTTCCATCTCTTTTGCTTTCGATGCCCACCACTGCTCACGGTCGTTTCTTAGACTTTTTCTTAACCTAGATCTGATTTGTTGTCGCTCTTCATCATGTTCAGAACCTGGTGGGACGAGTTTGCGAGAATCCATCAGTGTGATAGACTTTGAAGAAATCCACTGGTTCTTTGTAACTCTGTGGTTTAAGTCACTAATAGATTTCATTGCTGTTTCCACAGCTGTTTGTATATCTTTCCAAGCAACATCTGGGTCAGCCTCGTCTTCAGAACTACCTAATTGTGACCTCAATTGTTCCTGGAACCTACTTTTGCCTTTCACGCTACTCAATTCAGTTCTGATGGGTCTTTTGACCGAGGCTTTTTTGCATCCAGTGAGGCACAAGCAGATGCGTGCCCGTATAAGGGAGTGATCGGAGTCCAAGTAGGTACTCCAGAGTGAGCGACAATCTTGTACCGACCCTCTCCAACGATGACTGATGGCAATATGGTCTATTTGAGTCCATCGTTGGTTTGGTGCAGGCGGTCGCCACGTTAGACGATGTCTCTCCTTATGCTTAAAATTTGTGTTTGCTAAAAATAAGCGGTTGTCCGAGCACAGTTGCAGCAGACGGTCACCATTATCTGTTCGCTGTGCCGGAATGCTAAAATATCCACCTAAATGCCTTTCTGTTTGGTTTAGACTACCTATCTGAGCATTAGAGTCACCCCCTACGAGTACTATGTCTGAGCGTTTAGCTTTCTGAAGAAGTTCGGACAGCTTTCTGTAAAATTCATCTTTCACATCATCTGAGCTGCAGTCAGTGGGAGCGTAGGCAGAAACGACGAAAAGGCAACGACGTGTGTCCCTATCCTTCCGAGTTTTTACGGAGCCGTTTAGTCGAACAGCACATAGACGACTGTTGACGGGGATCCACCCTAGCAGTGCTTGTTCCGCCCTCATGCTTGGTGCTATGCCTACACCTGCCAGTCCACGAGAACTGACCATCGGGTCACCACATACACGTAGGGTGTATCTCGTTGGCTCTCCGTTTTGCCGAGGTGAGGTCAAGTGAATGACCACACTGGAATCCTGTATGCGTGTTTCGGAGACACAGCATACATCAATGGAAAGAGACTAGGGTTTTAACCAAGGAAGCCTGCTGACCGATTTGACATAGAGTGCGTACGTTGAAAGCTCCAATGTGTAGTTTGAAACGAGGTTTCAGTAGACCTGGGACAGAGTTTTGAGCACTAGAATCGTTGGCTATGGTGACACTTGAGGAGAAAGCCGAAGGAGGAAGTTTAGGGTTGAAAGTCGATGTAGGAGGAATAATAGGAATTGAAGAGGAAGGTTGATTATGAATACAGTGGTCTTGGGTGCTGTTAGAGGTATTTGGGCGGTTATCACTTCCCGGTTGCTCACACCGTGGAAGGGTTCTTCTGGAGGTACCTGAAAAGGAAATTGGATTAGAGGCGGTCTCAGTGACCTGAGAGCGTGACCGCAGTGCCCAAGGGACAACTGCTTGAGGCCGGTCGCGCACGGCCTTTCCGTGGGAGGTTTTTGACGTGTTAGCTCCGTTCTTCAAAGGGCCTTACCGCCGGAGACGGAAATCCGTGAGGTAAGGTGAGGTGCGCATTTTTAGGGTCGACCTTTTCTAACCCCACCCCTCCTTGTGGGAAGGCAGCATCGCTGTCATGCTGGTTGTCTGAAGGAAACACCTTACTGCTGTCACACCTCTGTACAGTCAGCAGTACGACTTCGCCTTCGGACCTTGGGTTTGTTGCTTTTAGTCTTACCGCTCTTCAACCGACCTGTCTGACATGGTGGGACCTTGAGGAACGGTTGTTCCAGCCAGTATAGCTCGGTTGCTTCATCACGATAGGCAAGCACGACCACCACGTCAAGGTAGCAACAACGGTCTTTAAAATTGTTTGTTAAATTAAAAATGTACATTCATTGTTCACCCGAGGATTAAATCTTTTCATTTGGTAACAGGACATGTAAGAGTCATTAAGAGTTCTGTTCTCGCTCACTTGGTGGATACAGGACATCAAATTGACTTGAATAAGATTTTTAAGGTTGTCCACCATCTTCCATCGCATCCACCACATGGTTAACGAGTTCGTCTGTTCCATATTGCGGAAGCTATCGGAATTCGTGTTCACAAACATAACTTGTGCATCCAAAAGAAGTTTGTACAACCACTCTCTCGGCAATGAGTGTGATAGTGAGCTTTTAGTTGAATTTTCACTAAATCCCTTCTTTCAGAATTATTCAAACAATTTTCTAATTTCTTCCACTTTTGTATTTTTACATGTTGTTGCTATAATACTATAATGCTGACCTTTCAGAGTAATCTCTTCGTTCTTTTTGTATTACCAGAATGAGTGTTTATGAAGGTTGTAGTAATCTACTAATTGAATTCATAAATCCATTTAAGCTAGATCACCATGGAAAAGCTGGAAGCACATGGGACTCGAACCCAGGGCCTCCTGTCTCGCGCGCAATGTAGCATTTGTTTGATTTTTCGAACAATTTGATTGTTATAATCCTCTTTCTTCCAATTACTCAATATATTTTGTAATCGATACATTGTGTAATCATTACATTACGTAACCACTTGATGAGTATTATTTCGTTGATGTAAATCATGTATATACTTGTAGAGTCATGATGAAAAACTAGTTGAAAAGAAATTTCTTCGTTCTATTTACTAAGTTTTGTTTCCTTCAGTAAGCTGATAATTCATATCTTAGTATCATAACTGAAGTATCATTCCCATCTCAAACTTTAAGTGTTACATATACTTGACACCGAGAGATTATGAATGAATGACACTTGGTAGTTAATGGTACTCGATGTCCAACCACTGGATTGAATCTCACTTCCTTCTACTTTAAATTCTGAAACTGGTAGCATCACTTGCCTTCAAATCGAAAGAATGGCTCAAAACCGGGGGTACACGAATTTCCACTTGGTAAATAAGTTATGAACTAGAAAAGAAGGCCCAGGACAGAGTGGGTTGGAGAATGCTGGTCGGCGGCCTAACCTCCATTGGGAGTAACAGGCGTAAGTAAGTAAGTAAATAAGTTATGAGAAGACGACTACACCAGTTTTCGATTATTTGTATTAGAATATTCTATACATTTCGGTTGTATTTTCAGTTCCTGGCTTCTTTTTTTCATAGGTCAAATGTGTAAGGAACGACGTCACAGAGGAGGACGTAAACATCAAACACGTGGTGCCCCGCCACCTTCCGGCAGTTTATCTCCATCCTCACACAGTGGACTAAAAGTTGGGAAGAAATTTTGTCGTGAGAGAAAAAATGGAGTACATAGAAGATCAGGAATCCTGTAATTCGTATCAAGGAACATTATCATCAGTATTCAAAGGAACTTCGTTTGTACTAGTTTATACTATTCATATATATATCCTAATATTTCCTTATTTATTGTTTTCCTGTTTTTTTTCTATAGAAATTTGTCTGTCTATCTTCGAACTGACTTTCATTCAAAAAGTATATAACACTACATTCACCCATTCATCCATATACTCAATTTAATCCATTGCAAAAAAAAGTAACTTTACTTATTGTGTTTGCGATCCTATTTCATGTTTTATCAACTCATTCAGTCATTAAGCATTTAATTCCTTATCCACACTGCTCGATTTTACCCTTGCAATTTTACTCAGTTTTATTTTTGCTTGTTTTTGTTTATATTTTGCCTTAACTGGTCTTTTTTGTCATTGAAATGTGTGTGTGTGTGTACACGTTTGTAGTTTTGTTTCTTATATTTGCTTTTATTACAGTTCTCAGTAATTTCCGATGGGAAATATGAATTACTCAATGTTGCCGATATAAAAAATACACGATAAATCCTTGTTATTCATCTTCAGTGTCTGTTCACTTATCATATTCAAATTGTTTTCATTACCACTGTTTACCTGGTCATGTAATTACCAGTTATTCTATTCAACGAAAGTTTTGGGGTAATTTGTAGTTTGTATTCGTCATGAATTAATCTCAATATGAGTATCACTGAAAACTAGGACGCATTGGACAGCTGTTTCATACTACAGCGGTGCTCACTCACGATCCATTCGGGGATTGAACCCACCAGATCTCGCATGGAACTCACTCGTTAGAAACAATGAGTTGGGGTGCGGTGGTGCAATTGCAGCTTCAGTCAACTTGAAATATGTCATGACAATCATCCAATATCACTGGTAGCAATTTCCACTCCCTACATGTCTGAGCTCTACCAGCTGTGAGTCTTTACTAGAGCTTCAGGGACGTCTTGTAGTCACTTATGAGCTTGCTTAAGCGGGTTTTATAGAGATTGGTTTACTTTGTGGGCTGTGTTCGGCAGTGGTACTCTGAGTTAAATCGATATAACCTATAAATTAAACCAATCTCAAAACTGCAACTCAATCTCCGATAAATTAGGATTGATGCTCACTGACGGATTGGTTCCCGTGTCACCCAGCTTCACAGTCAGAGACGTTGCCACTATACTATCGAGGCCCTGACCGACTCCCTGTAGGACTGAGATGTAATCACAACTGATTGATCACTGGGTGGTGATCGATGTCATGTGTGTCAAGTTCTCTTAATGCAGATCGAGTGCTATCGAACAAGTTGCAATGCGGCCACTAGTCTAGGGTTTCCTGTTGACTACCTCCAACCACCATCTAATCTCACAATAGTGCATGCAGTGTCAAGTCACCTAGACTAGTGGCCACATTGCAACTTGGTCAATAGCATTCGATCTGCACTAATAAGGACTTGACACACATGACATTGATCACCACCCAGTGATCAATCACTTGTGATAACTATGTTTATTTTAATAGTTGAGATCACGAGTCAGTTGAAACTAGACCACCATGGAAAACCTGTAAACACTGGACGGCCGTTTCGTCTTTTTTTGAACTCCTCAGCAGTGCGCACTCACGATCTCGCTTCGCGAGATCGGAACCCAGGACCTATCGGTTTCACACGAAAGCACTTAACCTCTAGACCACTGAGTCAGCCGTCATCCAACGGTGTTCACGTCTAACTTCAACTAACACAGTAGGATGAAATGGCCATTCAGGTTTTTCGTGGTGCTCTAGCTTCAATTGACTCACGATATTAATAATAACAAGTTTACGTTGTATGCAGCTGATAAGAAACTATGAAATAGAATGAATTCATTTGATTCTCCAAACTTTATTACCCTTTCTTTGTTTAATGATTTTATTTAGATATTTTACATATCCATTATTGATCACCTTTGTAAAGGCCTCCAAGTGCCCTGGTACGGCTGAGAGTAGGAAGAGTCCGCTCTCCCTCTAGAAATGCTCTCACATGTCCACGCATATATAGCCTTTGTTAGAGAAGTCCTACTCATTGCCTTCTCGTGGCAGGGGTGTTGTTTATGTAAAGGAGAGGACGAAAAGCGAATGCTTGGCTCTTTAACCGGATTCGAAACCAATGGTGCACATGGACTCCAGTATGCTGAGGGAACAAATGGCGTATGAACCAATTGTTGGTCACCGGCTACCATGGGACTGTATCTCCTTACGATGCTCCACTGCCTTGTGGATCAGACCTTCAGGTCGAAGGCTCGGGGTGTGGCCCCTAAGAAAACCACCTGCTTCGGTTTGGGCACCCGGGCAGTATCACAGCTCTCACACATATCGAATGAGATTTGTGTGGCGCATATGTATTTGGTGCCTCTTTGTACCGATATCTATGTGTTGAAATAAATAAATAAAATAACCTTTGTAAAGCATATTACTTATCTATCTATATGTTGTTTTTTCATATTACTTCAACATTCTTATTAACATAACAGATAGATAATTTGTTATCTTTTCATTCCTTCAATTGATTAACAATAACTAGGCAATTTTGTATATATATATATATATATATATATATATATATATATATATATATATATATATATATATATATATATATATATATAGTTTATTTCGTATACAGATTTTGTATATAAAAGAGAAATAAAATAATAATTAATTATTTTATTAAACTGATTAATTAATCAATTGATGAATGAAATAAATCTTTCATAAATAAATCATTAATTAATTGTTTATAATTGATTTTATCGATTTTTGATTTTTTACTTAAATTAATTGATTTTGGCATATCACCTTTACTTATTGGTAACCAATCAATATTAATATTTCCAATAGAATCCAATGATGGTTGAATAGATAATTCTTTATTTTCATAATTTTTCCAATTCAATTGATTAATAAATTGTTCATATTGTATTAAATTATTCTGATTGACTAAACTGTAATTTAAATGTAAGAAAGAAAAAATCTTAATATTTATCAGTCAGTCAGTCAGCTACAACATAGGACCAGGCACATATGTGCATCGGTCCAGGTTGCCATACCGCATCAGCACAACAAGATGAACACCGGATTCATAGCAGTGGTTAGGTCAAAGGTAGTAATATGTAAGAGAAAGATTGCATATAGAGATATAGTACAAGAAGAAAGAATTGGTTCGTAGAAAGAAAGATATGAAGCGATTTTAATCTCTTAGTTTAAGGGAAGACAGGGAGTGTATACACCGACGCCATTGTGATCGATTCTGAACCATGATTTTAACAAAATCAAAAACCGTGTAATTAAAAAAGGGTAAATTGAGTTGTAAATTATTTATTTATTTAAACACGTAAACATAGGTACAAGAAGGCATCAAACAAAGATATATGCCATATAAATCATTTGATTTGTATAAGAGCTGAAATACTGCCTGGGTAACCAAACTGAAGCAGGTGGTTTTCTTAGGTGGCTACACCCTGAGCCTTCGACCTAAAAGGTCTGACCTACAAGGTAGTGGAGTAACGTTAGGAGATACAGTCCCATAATAGTCGGTAACCAATAATTGGTTATATACCATTTTTCCTTCAGAATCATGAAGTCTATGTGCACCACTAGTTTGAAATCATGGTGTCCCAACTCCTCTAGGTGGACTGTCTATGTCCACCAACTTGGTTAAAGCGCAGGACATTCGCTTTTCGTCTTCTCAATTTCGTAAATAACAATAATGCCGTGAGAAGACAGTGAGTAGGAGGGAGAGCTGACTCTCTCCATTTCGGTGCTGTGAATTATTAGTTTGTAAATATGGTAGAAGCATGATTTCACTGCTTCATATTGATATTGATTTTACTGGTTAACACTAGCTTTGTACTCATGCGTTTGTACATATGTACAACTGAAAAGTCCAATAAATAGGATGAAATAGCTACTCGACTTTCCTTATTTTTCAGTGGTTTGTCAAACACTTTTTACTTACGCCTGTCACCCCTCGTGGAGGAGAATAGGCCGCCTACCAAGATTCTCCATCAAACTCTGTTCTGGAGAGTACTTTCCAGTCCTTTCTAGTTTCTGTTCATCTTTTTCATGTCTGCTGCCGATTCCCGAGGCAATTTGTTCTTTGACTTTTCCGTTTCCATTCAGCATTCCAAGTTAGCGCTCCCCATTTGATACAGTCTAATGATTTTCGCAATGTGCGTCCTATCTACTTCCAGCGTCTTTTCCTAATTTCCTCTTCAACTGCAAGCTGGTTTGTTCTCTCCCACAGTAGGTTGCTGCTGATGGTATCCGGTCAACAGAGTATCTTATGTAGACAATTGTTTATAGGTACTTGTACATTTTTGATGATAGTTGTAGTAGTTGTCGATGATTCAGCCCCATACAGTAGAACTGTTTTGATGTTTGTATTGGAGATTCTGAGGCTGCTGTTACATTGTTTGCCTTGAATTTCACTTGTTGATATGTATAGGATAGCAGGGTCTGACAAAATCTCAGCGCGGATTCAATAAGCCCGTTTGGCTTTTGCCAATTTACGTCACCTATGGCGAAGGTGAGACACCCGTCTATCAATTAAGGGACGAGTATACTGCGCAGCAGTTCGTTCTGCTTTACTTTACGGCTGCAAAACATGGCCATTAAGAGTAGAAGACACTCGTAAGCTACTAGTATTTGACCAAAGATGCCTTAGAAATATTGCTCGCATCTGCTAGGGTCACTAGGTATATAATGGTGAAGTTAGACATAGGGTATTAGGGAGTGATGGAAAATCAGTTGATGAGGTTGTGAATCTTCATCGACTGAGATGATTGGGCCACGTGTTATGTATGCCTGAACACCGATTACCATGACGTGCAATGCAAACCGGCGTTGGGGATGGAAGAAAGTTAGGAGCGGCCAAACCAAAACGTGGCATTATTATTATTATTGTTATTATTATTAGAAGCTTTATTCAACATTATATTTTTGGTACAACATAGAATTCTCAGTATGGTATTTCAAAAATTTTTGAAATACTATACAAGGAAACTTAAGTTTCCTTTTCTTATACCTTGATCGATTGTGACGATAAATTTTGAATGATGACCAGTTAGATGTTAGAAGTTCGGTAATCCAAATTTGATTACTGTTCATTTGTTTCAATGCATATTGCCAGCAACCATGATGTCGCTGATTGTACCTTTTTGTATCCCGTATAGCGAAAGGTTGTAAACTTTTCATAAACGCGCCTGAATAGGTTGTGCGCACAATAGACATAATGATGTGCTAAAACAAACAACAAAGCAGATAACGATGAAATATCTAGATCGGAGGAACAGCTAGCCCAGATATTCAAGCAGACCGCCGGCATCAGTGCTTGAAGACATTAACTTCTAGTCTGAGCCATGTTGGTAGATGCAGACTACTTGGTTGGGGTCCGAGTGACTATCGTAACCAATGGTTGGAGACTCTTGGTGGCATGACTCAGAATCGATCACAGTGGCGTCAGTGTATACACTCTCTATCTTCCCTTAAACTAAGAGATTAAAATCCCTTCATATCTTTCTTTCTACGAACTAATTCTTTCTTCCTGTACTATATC